TGGGACTAACGCGAAGTTTTGAATTTTGTTTGGTTTTAATAAGGGCCTACAATGGTTCCAACTTGTAGGTTGATTTTATTTTACTTCGTTTGACTATGGTTTGACGTTACTGTCGTTGGTTGACATTTCAAATTGAATAGTTTTGAATGGTTTTGAAATTAGTCTTCCGATGTGTGTCTTTGATAGTTGTCTTAGTCGTCTTTACGGTGGCGGTAATATCTTAAATATTCCTATTTAAAGTTTTTAAATAGGGAAAAACGGGTATTTTAAAAGAAAGGAATTTTTAGGGTGTTACATCATCCTCCCCGGGGATGTGGTTACTCTTGGGCACAAACCAAACATTAGGGGCATGCTGGTGAAGCGAGGTTAAGGAGGGGTTCGGAAAATAACACCGATGAGAGTTCCTAAGAAGCCAATCAAACACCTCATCATCATCACTCCTAGCCAAGAATTGAACTTATTTGAGTTGATTGATGTCGAGGTAGAGGGTGTTGAGATTCCCCACCGGAGTGCATAAAAGAAGATACCTCTCAAAACCAAGCTTAGTAGCCAACCTCATGATCATGCTACCACAAGGTATTTCACCCGACTAATTACCCTTCATATCTATAGAATTTTTCAAGAATATCCGCCCAAATTTTAACCTCCCCCTATACTCTTCCCTAGTTTCCATCCACAAAGCTCGCAACTCAAGGAGCGACATCTTTCCCAAAACTTTCTTTGGGAAAACTGAGTACCCCAATAGCCTATGAATCACTCTCAAACATGGTTGGAATATATCTCTTGCAAGGGAGTATCGAGCACTGAACTCATTCTTCCTCGAGATAGTATGCCACCAAGCATTTTGGGAAAAACCCTTCGATCCAAGTAATCATGCTCGCGGCGGAGAAGAGAATATCCGCCCCGAATTAAAGTCTGGGGCCACATTGAACTCGGCCAAAGACATGACATCCACCCGATTGAAGAGCTGGAAAATGATTTCATAGTCCTTATCACCAGCCGGAGTAGTACTCAAGGAAGCCAAAAACTCTCAAGTAGGCTCAAGACAGGTCCGGTAGCTCTTGGTGACAAAGGGACCCAAACCAAGGTTGTCTAAAAGAGTCCATAAATCCTCATCAATGCCCAGTTTGACCATGCTATATTGATGGTAATGCCGTGAGGGCTTATAGGTTCTTTTCTTGAAGTTGGTCCAATGAGGCTTGTGGCTTGGATTGGTGAAACTGATTTTTGGTAGAGGAAAATGCTCTAGATTTTGTGTTTGGGGAGAGGAAGTGTTTAAAGGAGAGGGTTCTTCAATGGTGGCATTTGTCTTTCTCTTTTTAGATTTAGAGGTTAAGGCTTTCAGGATCTTAGACATATTTACTTCACCAAATTTTCACAACCAAGAATACAATTTCAACTCTACAAATCACTTCAAATTACCACAAACACAACATAATCACAAACCTGGCTCATAACCAAGAACACCAATCACAACCACTTAATACCAAAATTCACCTTCCACAAATTACAAACAAATTGCACAATTGAGCTACACAAATAACAACAATACAATGTGAGGCAATATCAATCAACAACAACACAAAAAAATCAACACTATTTTACAATCAATCACCATGTTCATCAAAATTAATACTACTACTATAAATTATGAGTAATTTAATAAGAGTGTATATTGCTGGAAATTTGTGTGGACTATATTTTAATGCCTTGTTATAATTTTGGATTGTAGGAAACTTCCAAGTGAATGATATCATATCGTCATGGTAATTTTAAGATCATATCGAGGTACGTTTGCGTACTTGGTATTTATTTAGTGATATAGGAACATGCTAAGCTTTGAATAATTGATTCCAAATAGTATCATGATAGATTTTGATTGGAATTAATTATTTGGTTGATGTTTATTGGTAATTGAATTATGAAGCATTGATTATTTGTGATGGATTAGTGAAGGAAAATAATTAATTTGGCATGTTGTATATGAATCACAGTTTTATTATTGGCATGATAGTGAGATATTTAATTAAACTAATTGTTTAATTTGGATTGGAATATTGAAAAGGAATTTTATTATTTTCATAAAACTTTTTATTGATGCTAAAAAATAATGAGGAAAGAGCTATTTAAGTGTCTCTGTACACGAGGAATAAATTATATATTGGTGCCTTAGTGCGGTTAAGGTGTTTCAAACACCAAGGGATAAAAAATTTGGCGCATTATGTGTTTAAGGTGTCTTTGACACCGAGATAGATTAAAAAAGGTTCAACATTAAATATTACGTGGTCACTAATTATTGAAGAATTAAATTGATATGTTTAATTGTTTGAATAATTATAATGTTTGACTATGTTATGGTTTGAGAGTCATCACAAAGTCTAATAATATGTAAATAACGTAAAGTAAAAGAGATTACGCACCAAAACTCTCTGAACGTATGTACCTTGAGTATGAACATATGGGGGGGTTATGGGGTTTTTTATATTTAACCATAACTTCTAATGGGATTACCGAACGTTGTAATTTCCTTTTTATTATTATGCTCAGGAATTCCTCCACTTACGAGTGGTTCTTTTATATTGGCACGGTTAGCTCCCGTGTTAGTACCCCTTTATTAAGGCAAGTTGTTGGGGTTTGGAGAGTCCGACTCACTGCAGAAACAAACTCAAAAATAAGACCACACTCGCAATAAATAAAACCATAAACATAATTAAATTAATCACAAGATTAAGATAAAACGATTACCTTTGGAGCGTGCTTCGCCCGACCGCTTGGGCTCTTACTTGAAAGCTAGCTTCGAAATTACGAAGCCTCCGATGATGATCCACACGCAACAACGATCACCAACAAGGTCCAATACCTTGGGGTTAGCCAGACCCGACCGATAAACCCGAGTAATTGAGTTCAAAGGCTTTTTACTAAATGTGATACCTTTTCCAACTCTTGATGTCAAAGGTTTTCACTTACTAGTGATCCCTTTTCCAACTCTTACTTAAGCAGATAATCCCAAGCCATGCCTTGGCTATTTATAAGGAAAGCTTCCTTGTAAATTCCACTCATCTTCCAATGTGGGACTTTTTCACAAAAAGATCCCATATGGAAATATTGATGAATTCAACCCTTAATTAAATAAACAAAGGAATAAGTAACAAGTGTCACATGGTTAGGTGAGGACCACTTTCTCACTTGGTCCCAAGGAAACTCACATGCATTGTGAGCTAACCATGTGTCACCCAACCTTGAGCCCCCAAGTTGGGTTCGGTTGGGCCACTTTCTTTTGGCCCGTGTCCATGACCCGTCACCCGGGTCCATGGCCCCCTTGTGCCACTTGCGCTGCCACCATGGCGCGCTGCCAATATGGCATGCTGCCAACGTGGCGCGCTACCAACGTGGCATGCTGCCACGTGGCATGCTGCCACTTGGTGGCTACCATGTGTGCTGCCACGAGGCACGCTCCTATTTTGCGCACTTTCATTGTTTTTGCGTGGCTAGGGTTTTTGCTTGTTACTTGAAGCATTTTCCCGTCTCGCCAATTCCTAAATTTTGGCTCCACATTTGAGATTCTCCGACGCTTGATTTTGACGCTCTAAGCTCGAATTTCCGACGTCTAAATATAAAATACTCACTCAACTCATTAATTCCTTCTGAATTAATTCATCTCTTAGGCTCGTTAGTTGCTTGGGTGTGACCCAAAGGGTTCAGTTAAGACTAAGCTGTAATGTTAATTATGCATTAATATTACTGATCGGAAGCGGCCTCCACCTAGACATTCCGATCACTTGACCTTACTGAATATGTTAGCTTTCTAATAATTCTGAACCCACTATCTGAATAATACACTTGTTCGAAGGACACTATTCCTTTCACAGTTTAGGGGGAAACCTGTTCAATGCGTAATCAATGTTAAGTGAATCAATTAGTTAACTAATTGAGGGTCATGTTGTATGTTGTATGCTTGTAAACATATGCAATAAGGTAAGTTGTGTGATGATAGGTGAAAGCATGTTAGTGTGTTTTAATTACGCTTATGTACTCAGCATTGCTGATTGTGTGTTTGTATATTTATTTGGCCTTTCCTTTACATTGGCCCTGCGATGACCCATTTCTACATGAGAGTAGTGGGACAAGTAGAGAGAAGTTTTTCAAGTTATGAAGCATATTCATGATGGGCATGGGTGAACAGTAAATCATGCTTAGTTTCCATAAGTTTATGATGTCGTTTATTGCTTTGATTATTTTATTATATTATGTTTTTGAGACTAACTTAAAGGTTTTTATTTGGTTTGGTTTTGATAAGGGCCTACAATGGTTCCAAGTTGTAGGTTGACTTCGTTTTGCTTTGGTTTGACTTTCCTTTCGTTTGGTTGACTTTTAAAGTTGAATCGTTTTGAATGTTTTTTTTAAACATGGTCTTCCGCTGTATATCTTTAATATTTGTCTTCGTCGTTTTCATGGCGGCGGTAATGTCTTAGATTTTTCTGTTTTGAGTTTTGTTTTTGGTAAATAAGGAATTTTATTACCAAAGAGTAAGGAAACAACTTACAACGTTCACTACAAGAAAATTGGTTTTTGGCAACTAAAAAAGTCGTTACAAAAAATATTTTTGTCAACAACAGCTAATTTGTAGCAACGACTTTTCATCGTTATGAGAAGGTCCGTTACCAAAGGTTTCTGCAACAACTATTTTTTGTTGCTAATAATATACTTTTGACAACGACTTTTTTGTTGCAAAAGTTCGTTCATTGCCATTTCCACACCGTCTGTCTAGAGCGTATACAATACGTTTTTGTACAAGAATTGTCGTTGCCATTAATTTTATTTTTTGCAACAGAAAATGTTGTTGCGAATAATTATTGTTGGTAACAACTTATTTTGTTGTCATAAAAATAATTTTGGTAACATCTTTATTGTTTTTGTTTATGCTATCTTTAACAACAACCCTTGTCCTTGTGAATATTGTTGTATTAATATTTTACAACAACTAAAGTTGTTGCAGTAAACTAACATCGTCCATACATACAATTTTTAATATTTTCATGTACTGATTACAAAGTATTATAACTAAGTTCAAATGTAATTTATAAATTGACTTAAATCGAAATTTTTAAGTAAAATTATTTTCATAAGGATAGTAAGTATTTGCACCTTACACTTGCATAGCATACTGCTGAAGTAAATGGTTATAGCATAATCAAAATACTTGGACAATAAAAAATATTGTCAAAATCTAGATACCAATATACCATGCCTGTTAGGTATGCACAAAAGGTGGTCACTATGTAGCCGTCACATGATACAAAAACCCCAAAAGATGGCAAAAGTTGTCAAAGATTAGTTTGACATGCATATGACAGGAAGCTCCTTAGCTAATACACAAAATCCTCTGTTTTTTAATCATGATTTTTCTCTTTGTGCTTCTCACGCAAAATGAGTGATATCATCATCACCATTAATATCCAATCTGCAAAAAAAAAATGAAGACCAGAAAAATTTTAAACAAAGTTATTTATTTAGGTATAACATACTTTCAAGAATTTTAACAACTAATCCATGTCAAATCACAAAACATACTGAAAGCTAATTCACTAAACATAATTTTCAGTCCCTTAACCAAATGGGCATGGGAAAATTTTTGTACAAAGATTATTAAGTTGTGATTAGTTTATGTTATAAAAATATTTCAAACTTTTAAAATTGAATTGAATGGATATATTCTTGTAGAATTAAACTTAGAATAAAGAAAATTTCATCTGATGGCAAGGTATTTATTTTACCTAGTTTTAGCACTTTGTCCATTTATCATCATCATAAGGCGTTTCTCCATATCTTCAATGGTGCGTTGTTGTTGCAACTTATATTCTTCCATCTCCTTCTTACTTGCCTCTAGCTGACACTGTAGTTGAGCAATCTGATCTTGTTGTTTACGCAAGTTTTGTTGCTGTTCTTGCTGTAATCTTGCTTTGGAAGACCCTCCATACCCACTACCTTTGCCTCGTGTGTAACCAGACTTTGGGCCAATGAAGTAACATTTCACCTTGTGTTTAAGGACGAGCTTGACCATCCTCGGTTTCTTTATCCTTATCTTGTACTAATTGATGGAGTTGTGCCTTACAAAAAATAGATTTTTGTTAAAAAAAACATTTAACAGTCAATAGCCTTGTCATATAATAAGAAAATAAAACATCAATACTCACATGTACTTCCTTAGAGTGTTTGTCATTAACCCATTCTAGTACTCCTTGCTCATTTGTGTGTGTATGTTGAACAAGCCATACAACATCTGAAGGAAGTTCACCCCCATTCGCCCTAGTCTGAATACACTAACACATTACTAGCCTGTACTAATATCCTTTTATTTATAAGGTAGTAGTTATTTTACCATCCACGTCATCTTACCATTTCATATTCCACTTCAAGGAAAGACAATGGCCCAGTTGTGTGTTTATACCACTTGTTAGAGTTTCAATTCTTCTTGTTTCTTTCACTTCTTTGCTGCATTATATGAATCAATAAAACAAATTTTCCGAATATATTAAACCAATTTGCAATTAAGTATACAAACATAATGCTGATGTTATCCAACATGCTTAATATTAATAATAAAAAAAAACGTACAACTCTCATATAGCCTTTTCATTTTTATTAAAAGTAGACCATCACAGATAAAATTGAATAAATCTCATGTCCATGAAGATAAATAAGCCATACTAAAGAGTTGACACATAAAAGGTTTCACCTTGAACGTATCCGAGTCAAATGTAGCACAACAAGCTTTCCAACTTTCAATTGGAAAATCAGCAATAGCATTGTTTAAGCGCTCCTCATATGTAATCCCGCATTCTTTGTAATAATAATGCAAGCGACATTTCCAAAACCTGTATAGGCGTTGCATTGCATCTGTTGCAAAGGCTTGAAGCTGAAGAATTTGTGTATTTGAAGTTTTAATGTTGAACTTGTTCTGTAATTGAGTAAGCCATTCAGCAAACTGAGCCAATCATGCAATTTTTATGTCTATTTAATCTTATCTAAAATTTATAGTACATGTATAAAATTGTGTAAAAATAGTACTATATATCTTCACATGTAACCACATAGAATTACCATATTAGGCAAAGACTTGTGGCCAATCTCCAGCATCCATAAAAGCAGTGGTTCTCATAACATATCAACATATTAAAAGTTAACCATCATCCTAGCATTTTCTCCAACAACTTAAAGAACATAATCAGGTATTTCAATGTCAAGCTTAAATTGACCACCTAAAGTTTTTTTTTTTTCCAAAGATAAGCTTCTATACTTGCCTCTTTAGCCTCGCTTTCTTTTTGCACTGGTGGCAGATGTTACAAAAGAAACAAATTAATCTACCGCATTAATATATAAAGCGAGCAACACATAAATTTTTTTTAAAAAATGTGAATTCAATTACCTTGACTACTGTATTGATCATTTTGAGGAGTTTCGTCTCTCGTTGGTCCTCTTTCATGCATATATTTGGTCCTAACTTGTTGAGGCTGATTTTTGTGAATTCCATTAGTTTCTTTTATAGTTGGGTCTGTTGCATCAGTAGCTTTTATAGCAATGTAAAGTCTTCTGGCAAACTTGCTTTGAAATTTTTCTTTATAGCCCTCTTTAATAAAATCCCAACAGGAAATCAAAGCATGTCAAGATCAAATTAGATAACATGTAATCTCTAATATAATGATTATATGTGCTCTTAACTTCCCTATTAACCATATAAAAATTAGCTTGGAAAGTGTCCTGACTTTGCCTTGATTATTAGTGGGCTGCTCCTGATCAGCATATATGTTTTGTTAAAATAAACTATGAGAATGGGAGTCAATGTCATCCATATCAATATCATTGTTCAGTTGAGGATTTTGGTGTACCGAGTTTGCTGAATATCTAAAGCTATCCTCACTATAATTCTTCTCGTTATGTTAGGTTGACCTCATCCCTATGCATTTACATGACATATTCCACCATCTTGAATGTATTCGGCTACATTCCGAGAAGGTTGTAAAGACTTTCCTACTCCACCCATAATGCTCTTTTTAATGTCTTTGTTTGACCTCGTCCTGCCACAACTACACCATAAAAGATCTTTAAAGAATATTAGTAGATAAAAATTTTCTAAACTAAAAATTAGTGAATATTTAATGCAGCAACCCAAAGTATGCTAACAATGCAGTTTAGCAACCAGCACAATTCAACTACCAAAAATAAAAAAGGGTTTTTCTACATAGTACCCTATGAGGTATTCACTTTTCTAAGTTGTGCCCACCCATTTTCAAAATTCCACACTGTAACCCCAACGTACCTTTAGTGTTTACGATGTCACCCTGCCGTTAAGTTACGTTACCGTTAGCTATTATCGTTAGTTTTATGATGCCTCCCTCACACTCTCACGACCCAGCCCTAACCACCCTACCTAACGCACCCAGCCACCGCCACACCCAGCAACCGCCACACACCAACAACCACCACACCTAGCACAACTGCCACACATCAACAAGTCAACAACCATGAAGAAAATCGAACCCAGCCCCACCACAGCCACTGCCGACAGCAGCTAACGGCACTCCCATCCCCACCTACTCCAGCCGATGCACCACCTTAGCCCAACCCCAAACTCTGTGGCTGACGCACCACCCTAGCCCAACCCAAAACACCTAAGCCCCAACCACTACCGTGCAAAACCACACACCCCCCTTTTCCCTCACCCTTTAAACGGCCAAATCGACCATTCGGGGTGGTCGATTTCGGCCATTTTAAGGGTGAAAGGCCGGGTAAAGGATTTGAGTTTTTCGTCCTTTAGGGTTCACGCATCAGATTTTTGGTGCTCGAATTGGCGGTGAATTGTTGTTGTTGTTTCGGCGGTGCGGTTCGCAGAGTGGGTGCGGTTCATTGGGTGGGTGCGGTGGCTTGGGTGAAGTTTGGTGGCTTGGGTGAAGTCCAGTGGGTGGTTCGCTGGGTGGGTGGGTTTGAAGGAGGGAAGGGTTGGTGGTGTGTGGGTGGGTTTGAAGGAGGGAGGTTTTTTTTTATAAATATATTTTTAACAAAAGTTAACGGTGTTAACTTTAAAATTAGTGGGGGGGTTAAATCGTAGTCACTAAAGGTATCTTGGGGCTACAATGTAGAATTTTGAAAATGGGTGGACACAGCTTAGAAAATGGAATATCTTAGGGGTACTACGTAGAAAAATCCAATAAATAATAAAAAAAAAAAAGAAAAAGAAAAAGAAAAAAAGAAGCAAGTAATTAAATCAACAACAATATTGAGACAATTTAGTTCAATTTAGACCTTATATAATACTAAATGAAAGGTGAAAAACAAAAGAGATACAAGGGAAAATATACGGACAAAATGGACAAAACAAACGCCATTTATGATGTGACAACATCGTCATCAGCAATAAAACCATCTAAATTTGTGTTTTTCATTCTTTTCTTTTTGTGCTTTTGTTGCTTAATATTCTCCATTTCTTTTTTAACCCATTTGACGATTTCAGCTCCTCGTTCCACCGTAAAATGGTTTGTTTCTAGACATAAATTCTCAGGTGTTGTGAATCTTGTGGTTGTATTAGAATCCCTGAACTCTTCTTACTGCATTGCTTCGTCATTGATTTGATCAAAGTTGTAATCATCGATGTCAACTTCAGGCATCTTTTATAGATCTCGGGGCTCCTTCTTAATCATAGCAAGCCAATTTTTGTCTTTTGGTTCAATCACATATAACACTTGCTCTACTTGCAAATCAAATACAAAAGGCTCACTAGCTCATGGCTAAGGAAAGTTCTCTACATACGCTAGTTATTCCACATTCATCAACTTTATACCCTCTTCCTTGATGTTGAACATCATACCAATCACACTTGAAAACAAAAACACGATTTGAACCTGGATACTGCAACTAATATATATCTCTAAGAACACCGTAATACTCTTTCGCCAATTTATTGTTGCCTCGAACCATAACACCACTATTTTGGATTTTCCTATTTTCTTTTCAATCAAGGGTGTGAAATCTAAACCCATTCACTATATAGCCCCACTTTAACGCCTTACAGTATGCAAGGGACCACACATTAAGTAGTATAGGTCCTCATCAATGGATCAATCTTTATACATATTTTCCACCTGTTCATGAAAACATAATTAATCTGTAAAAAATTTATCCACTACTTTATGTCAAAAAGGATCAAGATGATTTATATAAAAAAAACTTGTAATCTTACAAAGTTACATACACGATTGCGAACCCATTCAGCAAACTCAGCTTTATGTCTTTTTTCGATGCTTCTAGGTGCTAGATTTTCAACTGCAAGCAGCTCTTTGTGCTCCTTATAAGTTTAAAAATAAAGATTATCAAGGATGTAAATAACTAAATATATTCTTTCTAAAAAAAATAAAAATCTTAGAGTAAAATCAATATGAGCTTAGTTAACAAGTTCTAATATCTCGTCACAATTATGAAGGGAATGTAAGTGAACTTGATTAAACTCCTTTGAATTGAGATGGTAAGGAGTAGGCTTTCCAATTGGGCAACCACTTAGTCTGAATATGTCTAAATCACTTATACTTGACACCTCATAAGCAATATCATCATTCCGACATGGACGATTAAATTTAGAGGGCATATCATCCATAAACCTTAAACAAAAGGTTAGACACTCATCAGCCTGTATCCCCTAGCAATTGAACCTTCAAGATGTGCTTTGTTGCGAACATAGGATTTTAACGTATGCAAGTACCTATATATATTAAATCAATGTTTATAAAATAACGTATAAAAATTATTTATTGAAATTAAAGATTAAAACAAAAATTATGCACAATATTTTGTTTATACCTCTCTATAGGATACATCCAGCGATATCTAACAGGACTTGCTAGCTTTGCTTCAGCCGCCAGATGAACTACCAAATGCATCATAACAGAAAAGAATGACGGTGGAAAGATCATTTCCAGCTTGCATAGTGTGTATGGAATTGAATTTTCAAGTTCATCAAGAACCTTTATGGTCAGATTCTTTGAGCACAGATTCTTGAAAAATGAGCTTAATTCAATCAAGGGCTCACAAACATTGTTTGGAAGAAGTCCTCGAATAGCAACAGGAAGAAGTTTCTCCAAGAATACATAGTGATCATGACTTTTCATGCATGACATCTTTCGTCCTTTATCTTTTACACATCGAGAGATGTTTGAGAAATATTCATCAATGATCTTTAAATTTTGAAAAACCTCACAAAATGCATATCTGTCTTCACCTCTCAATGTATAACAAGCTACAGGTATGCGCACTTTATCTCTATCAACAATAGGATGTAGATCTTTTCTTAGGTCCATCTTTACCAAATCCAATCGAGATCTTATATTGTCCTTAGACTTATCCTTTATATTCATCAATGTCCAAATGATGTTCTCAGACACGTTCTTTTCTATATGCATAACATCTAAGTTATGATGCAATCTCAATTTAATCCTA